AAATAATTCCATTTTATGTACTTCACTATTAGATAATTCTTTATTATTGTTTTTAATGTAGCATTTATTATGTATCTGTGTGTGTGTGTGTATGCGTGTGTGAAGTTTCAGGTTGTAAGAGTAATAAGTGCTCATTGTAGACATTTTATATAAATCGGACAAAAACAATGGAAACCATCTTCAGTCATGTGATCTAGGGTAACCACTGCTAACACTCTGCTGAATTTCTTCTAGTTTATTTCTATGCTCTATCTAATTTTGTTACTTAATTTTTCATTGAATATATCATGATATATATAATATACATATTATATATATATAATATTTTCCATGTCATTAAAATTATTATACAACATGTTTTTTAATGTCTGAATGTATTCCATTGGCGGGGATCATAATTTATTTTACCAGAAACCACTTTCCCTCTCCTTTTTTGGACATTTAGGTTCATTCATCCATTTATAAAATATTTTTTAAGCACTTGAATGCCAGGAACTCTTCCCAGTGCTGAAGATACAGAGTTGACACAGTATAAGATGTATGCGTTCTCCTGGAACTGTTCCAAGAGGGTATGAAGCAAGGTAGATAATAAAATAATAAACAAAATTAATTGGTCCTACCTAAGAGAATTACTTACTTAGACTTTGCAAGCTTCAAAATTAATCTTTAGACTCTCCACAAAGAGTTTCGGTTTACTCCCAAATCCCTGGGATTGGCTGGAGACCATAAAGATGGCTCCCACAGGATCCAGATCAGGCTACACAGCCACCACGGTGCCCGCCCTGGCTGCCTTTGCTGCAAGGACGACCCACAGGCAGCACTGCTCAGCCACAGCGTAGAAGGTGGGGCTGGGGGTGGGGTGAAGAAATGAGCCACGAGCAGCCACTTCACAGCAGGCCAGGACTGATACTGGCTGTCTCAAAATGGTGGGTTAGATCAAATAGATTCCTTTGCTTGGATATTTGGCCTGAGAATGGGGGAGGCTGAGGCAGTCAGCAGTCGGAACCGTAGCCGGGCCTGACACGGGGACCGTCTGGTGCACCCACGCTGGGGCTTGTGCGAGATTGATTAATGAGGGCGCAGAAACCATAAACAAGCAGCACTTTTGAGGTAGAGAAGAAACATATATGTAGTCAGTAGTAGGGAAAAGGGAAAGTTAGACACATGAAAAGCAGCTGTCGGGTTCATGTCAAAGCACTCAGGGAAGATTAATATTAGCAATTCTCACGTTCATGGACTTTCGAGCTGCCTTGGACTCAGAACACCCTCCTTCTGCGATCCCTGAATGTTCAGCTTTCTGGGGTCTCATTCACCCCTCATGTGAGGTAGCTTGAGAGAGTCTCTAGTCCTTAAACCAGAAGAACTCAACAAAAACAAGTCTCTGTACAGAAAGACAATTATACGTGTCCAAGAATGGTATATAACAACACCTAATTCAGCCCCATCCAACTTAGCAAAAGGTTTACTTATGCTTTGAGAATTATCTTAGCAGGACTCAGATTTCCTTTCTTTTTAATATTCATTGTTATTTATTTATTTTTTTTACTAGGTCATTAGAAAAGTCAGTTTCTCTTCCTTAATAAATGTCAAATAAAAACCATTAATAGGTACAAGAGATAGTTTGGAAATGGAAGACACATTCTCTGCCACCAGAAGCACACAGCTAACAGCAAACCCACAACTACAATGCAGGATAATAAGCACTTTCTGAGTGCGCAGAGGGTGCTGCAGGAACACAGGATGGGCCTCTAAATCACAGGAGAGAAGGTATCCTGAGGAAAGTGACCCCTAAAATAAGTTTTAAAAGATAGACAGGAGCTAACTCTATTTTAAAATCTAGTTCAAGGCCAGGCGTAGTGGCTCACTCCTGTAATCCTAGCTCTCTGGGAGGCCGAGGTGGGCGGATCATTTGAACTCAGGAGTTTGAGACCAGCCTGAGCAAGAGTGAGATCCATCTCTACTAAAAAGAGAAAGAAATTAATTGGACACCTAAATATATATATAGAAAAACTTAGCTGGGCATGGTGGCATGTGCCTGTAGTTCCAGCTACTTGGGAGGCTAAGGCAGGAGGATCGCTTGAGCTCAGGAGTTTGAGGTTGCTGTGAGGTTGGCTGACGCCACGGCACTCACTCTGGCCTGGGCAACAGAGTGAGACTCTGTCTCAAAAAAAAAAAAAAAGCTAGAGTTCTTTGGTCACTTAGAAAGACATTAATTCCTATTGTTTTTTTAAGACCTACCGCATATTTGGGGTCATTTTCAATTCTGATACCTTGATCCTAGGTTCACAATTTCTACAGCAGTTTTTAGAAATGTCTGATTACCAATATTACTTATACATCTTCTTCCTCTGCAGTATTTCCCAAATTTGCCTGGTCTTAAGAGCCACCTCAGCACACCATGAGTGTGCAGAGCCAGAGTGCTAACTCTTGTCTTTGTAACTCTTTATTTTTATTCAATTCATGTAATTGACACTTCTTTCTTTTGCAAGGAAAAAAACTTTGGTAACAGTAGAGCATTTCAGGCCAGAGAGATATTTTGTTTACAGAGTCTTTATTTTACTAATTAAAGTCCTGCTTCTATTTTCATTTTCAACTCAAATGTAATTGAATGTATTTAAATGCCATGTTTCCAATAGACATCTACCTTTTTGTAGTAAATGACAACCTCATTTGGCATTTTCAGAAAAATGGCACTTCTAATTGAGGCCTGGATTATTACTCAAACTTAAAACAGCTATCTTTCAAATACACTGTGATCAAAATTCATATATTTCCTGCAGCTAATGGATATTTTGATTCCATCAAGTTTTCTCATTCTCATTCTGACCTAATAAAGAATGTCATCTGCTATATTAGTAGCATGCCTCACTGCACCTGGGCCTTTCTCAATTTCAACACAAACTTTATCCAAGCATTTACTTTCGGGATGGAGAATTCGTAGGAAATATCCACTACTCCTTACCCTGTTCTGCGAAGCGGATGTCACTGATTAATGACAGCAGTCTTTTCCGTAGCTGGACGTGGCTAGCCTACACGTAGGCTTCCACCCACATATCTCCCGGCAAGCCGCATTGCTTCTGGTATTGGTTTGGTGTACCAGATAAAGTTAGTTTTGAATTCCTTGCCTACCTCGTGGTATCTGACAAGATTTGTCATTTATGTGGAATCCATTTAGTGTTTTTCTGAAAGTAATTGTCCACTGAAAGTTTTCTGAATCCAGAAAGGACAAGTTTTGTGAAGTTTTTCCCCGCTCTTTGTTCCCTATGAAATCTCCTCATCAAAACAAATAAAATTGCCAAAGATAATTGATAAAGACTTGAAAAGCAGTAAGGTTTGCTAAGGAGTTTGCTCAGTTAGTTCAATTAGTGTCTAAGATTAATCCAAGCTTTACTATAAGATTTTTTTTAAATTAAGAAAATAATTTGGTTTTTAATTAATGAAAGACATAATATTTCTTATCACAAATGGGTGAAATTCTCAGCATAAATTCATTGTACATGAGTGATTTAATTTTGAATTTCTTCCATATTAAATGAAACTCATTTGGTTTAGAAATTCTGAAATAACAATACTACCAGGAACTTCTTAAACACCAAAGCAACTACTGGTTAAAAAAATCAAATAGATGATTATCTGTTCATAATCCTATTGCTCAGAAAATATAAAACATCAGAATTTTACAGATGATAGTGTCTTAAAATTATTGGTGAAATGTTAACATTTTAAGAGTATTTCAACTGATTCTTAAGTTCATACTCAGGCATTGGTTTAATACTTTCTGCCTGTGTATTACTGTACTGGCTGAATTGAGAAAAAAGAGAAGAAAGCTATATAAGGTGACTCAAAAGACATTTCCATTTGTAAAGAATAGGTAAGTTAGGAGAATCAGAGTATTTCTGATGTATAAATACAGAGTTAAATAACTCTGTATTTTGAGGATCTGAAGATTGATAAATATCCCAAGGCCAAATGCCACACACCCTACTCCAAAGTATCCTGATTTTTGAATACATATGCAGATTTTGCCCAAAGATGAGTTACCCTTACTTCTATCTTATTTTCTAGCACCTAAAAAAGTAGGGAGAGTAGATGAACACATGCAGAATTAAATACATCCACTTGAATACAAGTAGAGGATGAACAGTATCTGCAAGTTTTATTTGCAGGGCCTGTAAACTTAAGGTCAAGAAAGGGGTCTTTAAAATTGTAATCTGCTTGTCCCTATCTTATTCATTTTTTTTTACAGTTAGAAACTTTTTCACATTTGGAAATAATTGCATTTTTTTCATCTTGAATGTTGCTAACGCCAGGGGCAAACCCATACATCTCCTGATAAATAAAACTTAGCTTTAGTTTTCATGTTAGTGATTTTCGAAGGGAAATAAAATCCCTCCTTTTCCTTATACTGCTTACTTCAATTAGTTCTTTCTCTACACAACTTCCTAATACTTGCCTCAAGCAGAAATATGTGCAAATGGTTCACTGTGGAGCTGACACCCAAGTATTAAGAAGCAAAGGAGTACCCCATTAAATAGGTGCTCTGCCTCAGGCTGTGCCCTAGTAAGACAGAAATGTAGAAAATATGACTATATTTGCTTATCTCACTCCTCTACCACTGTGCTTACACATTAACTTTAAATAGGAAAAAAATAAAGAACAGAGGTAATAGTTGCCTAGATGAAAAATACTGGTGCCCAGTGGAAATAGGAGGGTTTTATAGATGAAAAGTCTTATTCTCCGTAAAAGCAAGAACCTCTAAATTCCGATCACTTTCCAGTGTAGAGGAGAATCTGCTGGAATACTTCCCTGGTTCTGCTGTGCCTCATGTTACTGCTAGTTTCTAGATGTGGTTCCATTCGGTTTTTACTACTGTTTTAAGAGCTAGCAGTTCATATGGACTTGGCTGATGACTGCCCAATCTCTAGCCTCTTTGTCAGGGTAATTTTCACTTACTCCATCCTTGTTCATTATTAATCTGGAGAATAATCCAAAGTACTTACAGGGTTAAGGACCACAGTGAAGAAAAGTTCACCTCCTTGGATGCTCTTGTCCAGCTCTTTGGGCCCTCCTGGGTATTCTTTGTAGAAAATTGTGTGAGTGAAAAGCCCACAGGTTTGTCTTGGAAGAACCTGAAGGAAAAATTAATAAGTAAGTAAAAAGCTCCTTTCAACCAATTATTTGTTGAAACTTAGCTTTATTCTCGTGAAATATATTGCACAAGCCGGTGTCATTATTCAGTTCTAACTAGGGCCGGGGCAATCCTTCACACTCTAGGAAAGACGGGGTGATATTAGGATAGAAGGAGTAGTGAAGAAAGTGGAAGAAATATTTTAAATCTAAAAGAGGCTCTGAATTACTTTAGCTACTTATCAAGCCCAGTGTAGTAAAAATGAGACTTTAAAAATATTGGAATTGTCTGTGCTACATTGTAATCCTAGTAGGCAAGAATTTAAAGAATAACAATTTCTGCCAAATTATATACATGCATTAGAAAATGAAGTCAATTATCAACTTAATATGCTTCCTAGGAAATGACATTTTAAATCACAACAAATATTTGAGACACAAATCACAGTGCCTGCTGTAGTCTAAGAGGCCACAGTAGCTACCCCAGATTCTAAGTGTGAAGCCTGCCAGTTCCAAAAGTGAGAAAGAGATTATCCATTTGATAAGCAATTTTTAGAAAGTGCAACAAACAAAATGACAAAAGGTCACTCAGTAAAAGGTACTCTTTTCATCCTCTCTATATGGAATCTATTGTTTTCTTCAATTATACACATTTATGACAAGGACATTTTTTCAAATTTTTACAGCTTTCTTGGTAAAATATGAATGTAATTATAAAAGAAGGTGTGAACAAAAGCTGTGCAAGATGTTAAAATCTTCATCTGAATTTTATATAATGACTTCGTGGTGACCTGTGTTTGTCACTATCCACTTGAAGTAGCAGAAAATTAATGAATATACTTCACAGAGCTACAAATGTGGCAGAATCTTTCACAGGCAGGTCTTTTGCTTACTGTCCTAAGCAAATACATCTTTATTTTTTCTACCTTGACTTTTAAAATGCATTTGGTTCAGTAAGTGCCTTCAAACTATTACTTGTCCAGAACTTTCCATGTTTTGCAACTCTCTATAAACACAGTTCTTTTTTCTTTAGTTTGAATTGTATTATAATAAATTTTAATCTAGTCCTTGGAAAGTTTTCTTAGAAAATATAATTCTCAGCTCAATCAATATATCTCATTTTGCTGCAAGTCAAAACTCTATATATCCTATTTACTTTGGTAAATTGTTAAAAATTATATCCTTAGTAGCTATTTTATCTTGATGAAATAGTTAAAAGAACTTTAGTTTAAAGCATAGAGTATTAGCTGTGGTAATGTCTATGTTTAAAAGCATTATGCATTCTTATAAGGCTGTGTAGAAAATCAATGACAAAAAAGAACTAAGTGCAAACACATTCTAACTGAATTAGATATATTCCCTAACAATTTTTAGAAATGTAATGTTTTAGAAATTGATAATAGAATTTGGAAAGCATTTGGAATGAATGGTTTATGTAACATTTATTCATTTATTTAACAAATACTTATTCTAAACTCTATGCTAGCCCATGGCATAGAGTTAGTTCTATGCTAGTGGAACTATGGTAGTTATGGGCTTTATGCTAATGCATAGCACAGAGTCAGTTCCATGCTAGTGTGCTAGTTCAGTATGCTAATTTCATGCTAGTTCATGTGAAAAAACACAAAGATATATGTGTTCTACCCTTGAAGGATGTGAGAATATCAGGGTAAGGAGAAAGACCCAAAAGCAAAATCATAAAATGCTCACGTGTTCAGTATCAGGTTACTATTACATTTTGTTTTGTTTTGTTTGAGACAGAGTCTCACTCTGTTGTATCGGCTAGAGTGCCATGGCGTCAGCCTAGCTCACAGCAACCTCAAAGTCCTGGGCTCAAGTGATCCTCCTGCCTCAGCCTCCCGAGTAGCTGGGACTACAGCATGCACATCATGCCTGGCTAATTTTTTTCCATATATTTTTAGCTGGCCAATTAATTTCTTCCTATTTTTAGTAGAGACAGGGTCATGCTCTTGCTCAGGCTGGTCTTGAACTCCTGACTTTGAGCGATCTGCCTGCCTTGGCCTCCCAGAGTGCTAGGATTACAGGTGTGAGTTACTGTCACATTTTAAAAAGTGTGTGACTCTGAAGCACTTTCAGGGTTCAGTTTGAATATCTTGCTGGGAAAATTATGGAATACATACAGAGTCATCCTTGGAACTTAATTGCTAGGGTTGATTCTATGCAAAATGGAGAAAGAAGTGAAAAGAAATTTGAGTTTTGTCTATTCCCTAAATTATCTGAATTTGAACACAGTGAAGAGGAAGTGTCAGGTTGCTGGGTGGTTCATCTCCTGCTGTGAGTACGAGGATCATGGTGCCCTGGGAGAGTCAAGACCCCCACACGGGGCTGAGGTGGGAGTGTGATTGGGGTCACACTCCATTGTCTTGCTTCGTAAGTGCAGTGCTGCGGAATGATGAGTGTGTTCCTTGAAACAGCTCTCTGGTGCTAGAGAAGGAACATAGGCATCCTGCTGCAGACTGCCCTGTAGACTGGGCATGCAACACTTTCAGATTCAAACTCTGAGACACTGATGACCCCCAGAAACCTGACAGCTGCTGACAGTAAGTGGGAGATGATTATGATAGCCATGGTCAATAAGAATCCTGGCCAGTGGGACGTGAAGCCAGTATCCTGTACCTAAGGCCTCAATCAGGAGTGATTGCCAATAAGCCCTTCTGGGGGCTCCCAGTAAAGACCACCTAGGGGCTTGTCAGTGGGATTAATGATAGTCTCTGCTAATGAGTGTTTCCATTAAAAACAGTAAGTGCATAGTCAGTGTGTGTACTCTAATTTCTTAGAGGTCTCTGGTTCTCTGTAGAGAGTCACATTTAACAAGCAGGGGTTAGAGTACAGAGTTCTGGTTTTTCATCACTTCCTTACTAAATGAGAATAAAAAGTTGTCCATTTGAAAATTCAATAAAACTGGAGACCCAGAGACTCTGGTTAGGGCTCAAACACCTTGAAATATAACTGGCTTTTTTGTTCCTAATGGAATTACAAAATGGCATGTTGCATTAATAGGAATCCAGAGGAGAATAGTAGTTGCGAGTTAGGTATGAGTTAGGTGTTGAGCTTCTATATACTAAGGAGCTTTACATTCAATTATATAAGACACGGGACTTGATACTGAAGACAAAGGGAATAGAAATAGGTAGAGAGTAGCCAGAAGTCATTCAGTGCAAAGTATCACAAAGAGATGGAAACAGCAAAACTATCATGGACCTTTTGGCTGGAGTGAATCTGTAAAAGCTCCAGGGAAAGAAAAGATAGAAAGGTCCAGGCTGTTTTCAGGTCTCCCAAGAGCACATTAAGGGGTGTGGAAACAACTGGAGCTAATCAAAGTTAGGAAGGCTAGGACGAAGGCAGTGATTGGGAAAGATTAAAAAGTTGGCACTGTCTGTGCAGTGGGGAGTAGATGGAAGGTGTAAACAGACAAAGTAGAAACCAGCGCCACAGTGAACACATAAAAATTAAGGCAGTGAAGAAACATGGTGGCTATGGGAAAGGAAATAAAAAGATACAAAGAAATTAGTGATGAAATGTAGAGACTGATTGGCAGTGGTGGTGGTGGGGGTCAGTGTGATGTTTGAATTGCAGAGCTGAAATAAGAATGACATGATTAACAGCTGGTTTGAAGAGAAGATATGTGGCCTTTTGAGTTTGCTTTATAAATGAATCCTCAAAAAACATTCTCCCTCATCTCATACAACAAAGTACGAGTGTGACCTAAGGTTTGCTCCTCTATTCCCGGGTTTTTTCTTTGCAATCTCTCTCTAGGAGGACATATTGGCTTCTGTGGCCTCAACCTGCTTCTCTATTCAGATGGCTTCTGGCCCTGTCTTCTCTCATTGCGTAATCAACTGTCTGCTGAACATTTCTCACTTGGAAATTCTCATCCGAGAGCCCACAGACCAAATATAGAGAGTTTCCACGGATTGCTGCAAAAGTAGAACCACAGGGGTAGTTCCATCAAAACAGGACATCTGTTAGAGCCTTGATTACCTGCAGGATTCATGCATTTATAATATAGATAAAATATGTTTTCGGGAGAAATTAAAAATATAACCCAGATTTTTTAAACTCTCTGGTCAGAAGGCTGGCAGCTTGAGGAACAGTGAATTCATTTTCAGTACTTAGGAAGGGCAGACTGCGATAAAATGTGGCCAGCATGTCCCCATCTAGTGTTTATAACAGTTTTTATTGAGAGAAAAGTCAAGATGGGAGTTAATCCAAGTTAAATGTCATTATCCACTCTGTAATTTTTGCAGACATTGGAAAACTGTCTGAAAAGAAGTCAGTTACACCTAATTCTAGAGGATAGACATCTCTTCAGACATGTCAGTTTGACAGAGTGCGATGGCGGCTCACCACTTAGTGTTCTTTTTCGTGGTGTCGCTTGCCAGTGTGCGAGTCTAAATTAGGAGGCTCATTCCTAGCTTCACCGTACTTTCTTTGGATTTTCTGGTTTGGGGGAAAAAATGGGATTTAATTACCTACTTTGTGAGGTCTCACAAAGTATTAGGTACATATTTTGACAATACACATTTGCCACTGTGTGCAAAACAAAATAGAGAAGCCCTGGAGAGAATTAGACAATGGCAATAATGATTAACGTCATCTGTCATTTGCGCTCCATATTATTATCTGTTAATGATTATGCAGGACTTCGCATATGGCTTCTTGCTGCAAATAGTTTGAGTTTTTTTTTTTAGCTTAGCATGGTAAAGAGAAGAACACAGTTTGACTGCCTTGTGAAAGGTTAACAGAGAGAGAGTGTTGGTGTTAGTTTTAGTTTTACATACTAAGTAACTTTTCAAAGAAATGATGGTTACTAAAAATTATCTTCAAGTTAGATGTAATATTTTCTTAGTATTTTAACATCAGTGCCTGCTTACCAGCAGTAGTGTCAGTATAAAAAAAAATTTTTTTTAGTTATATTTGAAGAATAGAAGCGACTTTAATTAAAAATCCTCTGCTTAGATATGACAAATGTGCTTCGTACAGCATGCAGCCTTCCCTACAGTTATGCTTGTAACATTTGTTCTTGTTTTTTCTTGCTTCAAACGAGGAGTGTAAATCTGGCAGAATTAGCCGCACCCTCTCCTATGCATACCGGAGGAAGCTCACCATGATGTTTTTGTGGATAAAGCCCCTCCGGTATCTAGCTGGTTTCAGATGTGGATATTCCTCAGTGCTGGTGATTTTAATATTCCAAACCTTCTTCCAGGCCTCGTAAAGCTGGACGTGTACAGGGTAGACGCCCGAGTGATGAGGGGACACCGCGTAGCCCATGTCCGTTGGGATGCCATGCTCCTACGACCAAGCAAACGTTAATTAGAGCGTGGGATGATTTATCTTGAATCTATTTTTACCCCAGGATTTTCAAATTGTACTATAAATACATTTAAATCCATCATTACTTAATTGTAGGGTAAAATTAAAGTGATTATTAACATTAAGACCTCTAGACTTTATGAAGCCTAGTAGCCATCCACCAGTCTTGATGGTGATACTTTTGTGTTTGAGAAGTAGTGGGACAGAACTTGTGATTTTTTTTTCATAGAAAAAGAACACTTTTATTCTTTCTGTGTGCTAAATTATACAAATGACTCTTTTTTTTTAGTATATTATGGGGGTACAAGTGTTTAGGTTACATATATTGCCCATGCCCCCCTCCCCACCAGAACTCGTGATTTTGATGCATGACTTGAAAGAGCCTCCATTTAGTGCATCATTGCCACAGCCATCTGTCTCTCTATTGCTCACAAGTTCAACAAGTTAAATGACACACTCGCACTACAAACAACACGCAGCGTTCCCCACAAAGTAAAACCAGTATCTATTAGAGGGACAGAACACATTCCAAGTTCACTGGGCCTGCTGACAGGATTTTACTTTGTCTACTGTGCGGGTTCTACAAAGTTTGCCACATCTCTGTGGGTCCCTCAGCATGTGGGCCAAGCAGTAACAGACAGTGCTCCCTGCCTTGGGAGGAACACACACACTTTTGATTCTACAGAGCAATTTTCTTTGAAGTGGAAGCCCTTATTATGAAAGTAGAAGGTTCCAAAAGAACAAAATATTCTGGGAACTTAGTTGATTCAAAGTCAAGCTTTTGTACATAAAATAAGTCCAGTTTTTAGGAAAAAAAAAAGATAGAGGAAAATTGCACAGGAATGAAAAATGAACACCCTTGGCTTCAGTAGCTGACATGTATTTTTTCTGCTGGATGTTTTTTTAATTTTTGTTTTTATTTTTCAATTGCTTAAAAAAGTCTTCAAAAGTTCCCCTCAGATAGTCTTCTTTTGAATCAGTCATGGCTTTCTCCTGCCAAAGAGCAATTTCACATACACAGAACCATAGAATCAGGCTGTGAAATGGATGAAATGAATATGGAAAAAGTTAGAGTTACGGCCAGCTTTATTTTCCAACCTAAATGATGACAGGAGGAGAAGGAAGCATAGGAAGTGCCTGAATACAGAAGGAAAACAGGTTGCCAATGGTTTGCCATTACCTAAGTACCTGCTCAGATTCCTTCAGATGGCATAAAAAGCCCTCAAAATTTGGTCCCCACCTACCTACATAGCCTCATCTCCTATCAGCATTCATTCCCCCACCCCATTTTTGATGATTTCCTTCATGCCATTGCTGTACACTGTATACACTGTCAGCAATTGGAATGCCATTTTCTTCTTATCTCATAAACTTTGTTTACTGTTCAAAAGTCAGTTCAGTCAGCTGTAGCTGAGGATGCTAAAAATGGAGCCACCATATTGCTGCTGTGAGAAAGAGAATGGGTTGGTATTGGAAGTGGAGGGGACCAAACCTGTGTTTCTGAAAGGTGAACAGGAAAGTCTAATGTTCTTAATTTTACTTGCATCCTTTGTAGAAATTACCATAACTATGAAATTATTATAAGATCATTTAGAACACCACTAAAAACTGAATTGAGATATTTCATTGCTTTTTCTTAGTTTTTAAAAACTCAAACTAAAGCAATTTTTTCCCACTAAGACTCATGTGGCAACACATAATTTGTGTTAGAAAAGATCAGTGAAGTGTTCACCTAAAGATCTGAGAATAATGGTGCAGTCATAAAGACCAAATGAACTGCAATCATGGAAATAAAAAAAATGAATAATTACAGGTTAATGGTGTTTTGAAGAGCTTGGGAAGAAGTAAGGATGAAATTCACGACAGAAACTACATTATCAAATTCTGATATCTGCAGACTTGTAAGAAATTGTGCAGATCAAAAGCTCACAGTTTGAACTGCCTGCAAGTAATCAGCTGTGTCTTGAGGACCCCGTGTAATAAAAGGGTGGTCCAGCACCAGAGACATTTTCCTTATTTTGGATTATTTAAAAACATTTGGCAACCAATGTATACTCAATTTTGTTGTTCTTTTTAGCTTTAATTCTAAAAAAAATATTGAGGCTTTTTAGTTTCCTCTTTTGTGTGCTGGTACAGTACAGTGTGGCCTCGTGGTGGGAAACTCCACTTCAAGAGTCAGCAAATGACTCAGGAGGTCTAAGCCTTCCGTCCTGTTCTCTAAAATGCGAGTCATAAAAGTATTTAACTCAAAGGGGTTTGGAGGCAATCAAATAGTATAATGCTGGGAAAGCCATTCAGTGCAGTTCCTGAAACATGATATACATTTAATGAATATTTTTTATTCTTATTGTTAGTTACTACCGTGCCTTCATTATTTTTATATGCTATGATCCTACTACTCAACTATAATGTGGAAATTATGAAACTACTGGCCTAAAAGAGATAGGTTGTTTGTTTCTGCTTCCATGGTAGATCTTGGGATTCTTTCTCAGGAGGCTTCTGTGGTAAATCCTGACTTCGACCCCACCCTAGGCCGCTCTCCTGATTTGTCTATATGCTCTCAACCACTGCCACACGGCTCCAGCCTGTGGATCACTGAGTTAGTAGGATGTCTCTTTTACATGAGTTTTAGATAAAGGCAACATAAATTTGCTCCTAAATTTGCATTCAATACCAGGGAGAACACCTGGAATCTTACTGCATAGAGAAGTTTGGGCGTGGATTGCAGGCAGTATGATCTGGAAGGCAGACTGTCATTTTTTTTTTTTTAACTTTTTTTGTCCTTACAGATAGAACATATTTTACTTAATAGTTTGTTACCTTAACTTATAACCTGTATAGTTAAACATATTGTGTGCAGATCTCTATTTGCTTTCTCGCTGGGACGTGCAAATGTTAACGGTAATCTCCTGGTATCTAGATTGCTTTTTTTTAAATTTCAGAATACTACGAGGGTACAAATGTTTTGGTTACATAAATTGCTTTTGTGCCATTTGAGTTAAAGTTATAAGTGTGCCCATTCCCCAGATAGTGTGCATTGTACCTGCTAGGTGTGAATTTACGTATCCCATCCTCCCTCCTCCCTCCTGCATGATTTCCAATGAATGTTATTTCCATATGTGTACATAGGTGTTGATGATTAGTTCTAATTTAATAGTGAGTACATTTGGTGTTTGTTTTTTCATTCTTGTGATACTTCACTTAGAAGAATGGTGGGGCTGCAACCTCTAAGGAAAGGAGTATGGAGATACCTCAAAGAACTAAAAGTAGACCTACCATTTGATCCAGCAATCCCATTACTAGGCTTCTACTCAAAGGAAAAAAAGACATTCTATAAAAAAGACACCTGCACTTGAATGTTTACAGCAGCACAATTCACAATTGCAAAGATGTGGAAACAACCCAAGTGCCCATCAATACATCAGTAGATTAATAAAATGTGGTACATGTATACGACGGAGTTCTACTCAGCCATAAAAATGATGAATATTAATACCTCTTGTATTAACAAGACAATCATGTTTTAAAAGATTTAGCCATAATGCTAAATTCTTGGTTGATTACTCTCTTCCAGATTATTCAATTTGAGATTTAGCACATATTATTTTATGACCTAGGGCAAAAACTCTAGCTGAAAAGTTAATTCTTGTTATTCTTTTCTTTGACCCTTGATTGAAAGTAGCATCTGAAATCCAGGAACTCTGGAATCTATGTCAAGATTTTCCTAGTGGAAGACATGGTTCGAAAAGTTTGAGGAGTGTGGCTGTGTTACCATAAAACGTAAATTAAATACTTGGAATGCAAATGGAATTAATTGGTCTCAAATGAAACTGTGATCTCCACATCTCAGCCCCCCAGCTCTGCTCGTTCTGCAGGGCTCCTCCATGTCATTAAACGACACCATGAGCCAACAACCAACCAGTCACTGTGTCGACAAAGTAAATATTCTTGACATTTCCTTTTTCCTCATTCTCTCTTCAATCCAGTCCATTATCATGTCCCTAGTACTACCTCCAGTATATACCTTAAATTTATCCACTTTTCTCCAATCCTATGATCATCATCACCCCAGTCCAATCCACCATTGTATCCCATGGCCTCCTGGCATAGGCTCCCATTCCCTCTCTTGCCCCTTCTAGTCCATTCTCTACCCAGCAGCCACAGCAATATTTTAAAGATACAAATATGATTATGTGACTTTCTACTCAAAATGCTTCCCTGGTTTCCTCTTGCACTTAAAATACAAATTCTTTAATCACAAGTTCTGCATGATATGTTCCTTGCTTCTCTGTCTAGCTTCATTTTGTACCACCCTCTACCCTTCACTGAGTTTTAGTTACATTAACCTTTCTCTGAAACTCATCAAGTACTTGCCTACCTCGGCATCTTCCCATATGTGATTTTCTCCACCTGAAATGTTCCTAGTCCAGCTCTTCACCTGGGTAAATCTGACACCTCTCGTAGGTAATTTATTCTTTCCTATCTTCAGAGAAGGCTTTACTGAGCAGTCCTAATCTAAACGAAGCTACATTAAGACATCTCTTAGTAGCCTGCCTTTGTTTTTCATGGTAAACAGCATAGTTTGTAAGCACATATTTCTTTGCATAATTATTTACATATTGTCTCTCTTCTTCCTTGAACAGTAAGCTCCATGAGGTCTAGGTTCTGTTTTATCCCCTGCAAAGTGCCTAGTGTCTGGTCAACAGCGAGCACTCGCTCAGCAAGTATTAGCAACGAAGTACATAGGCTGATTCTGACTCCTCCCTCCCCTCCATTTTCACTTTCCCAGTTATCTCAAACTGTCAGCTCGTTTGACAAATGAACATATGGTTACTCACAGGGAAATTTTAATACCTGTATAAATAATACTTGAAAACACTTTGAGACTGTAGTTAAAAATTATTATTCCAGTTGAGACACACTTATTTGTTACTATGAATTTATATATTTAAGTTATACTGTATAAAATTAAAAATTGC